GGGACTCTATTTTATACTGTCTATATTACTAGACAGAAGTGGCATAAAGAGTAATTTTTATTAGCCATAATTAGATGAACTTGATTCATGTACAACTGAACTTCTTTAGCTAGAAAATTTAAGCCTGTGAACAATACTTTAAAGATTGTTTCAGTTACTGCTTATGATAGGGACATACAAGCCATATCAATAACATTAAACAATATGAAAATTTTTGTCTCTGAAGCACAATTAGATATTACCTTCTAAATAATTTCCTATAAATTCTTTACCTAATAATAGAGAATAAATGCACATATTTATGAAATGTCATTTTAGTGATACAAAACAATTTATCATTTAATTGAATACATTTATCACTTAATTAGTTCTATGCCAATATAAGCTATGTCACACACCTGAAGGAAGAATCAAAATCATTTTGAACTCTGAGCTTTCCTGGCCTTTCTCTAAAAAAAGAAAGCTGTGTCTGGATATAGAGTACATTTTTATGTAAGTATGTGAGATCTGTTTATGAAAAATAGCCTTATGAAGGATTACACAGTGGTTGAATATTGCAGCTCTGTGTTTTAATAACCTTGGTTGCCTCCAACAAACTTACTAAACCTATGTTATCTTTTAATTGTGTCACTTAGAAAATGGCGTTATTGACTACCTAATGTAGTAATGAAAATTCACTGAATTAGTGCATGTAAAATGTTTCAGTTACCATTTACTAGTGGAAAGTCTTAGTAAATATTATCTACTAGGACTTATTTGATAACTTCTGTGTTCAGTAAATACATTAAAGTTGCTGAATTGGGCACTTCATAAAATATAAAAAACATACTTTCATAGGTAATGCTTTCTTTTAATTGTTTTCTTTTTTAGGTCACTTTTCACATAGAACCATATAGCAATCGAGATGATCAAAGCATGAACAAAAATGTGAAGTACATTATAGACAAGTGAGCTTCTCAGTGTTTTTATTTTCTACTGTGATAATTATTGTTATTATAATATGATCCAGTGATAATTCTTGCTATGGGTGCATTTAAATGGTATTTGAGAGACTTGCATGCTTATGATCTAACATCTTATATTTTAGGTTAATATTACCACAAATAATTGTAAGGAACATTCTAAATTTCCTTACAGTTCACTTTTTGCATGAATAAAGGTTGCTATTATTAGCATTTTTGCATGTTTTAAGGCTATTTATGTTTTCTTATGCTCATATTTTAAATTGCTACTTTTAAAAAAACATGTAAACATAGTTTTGTCTTTGAAAACAAAGTTCAGGTGAAATGTAAACTAATTTTATACCAATATACATATCTCTGTTCATTTATATCTAGATTGGTTACAATAAAGAATTTTTAAATACAGTTTCATTCTGTTAAAAGGTTTTATTGATAATGTTCTCTGAGGGATTCTATACTCTTACAAAGAAACTTGTTAGCAGCCAATGGACATTTATTACTGATAAGAAAAAAGAAGTTTGTCTGTTCATGTGTAACATAAAAGGCTTTTTATGGCTTTAGACACTTATCTCAGCAGGAGATAGTCTACTGCTTGGTAATGTATCCAGTGTCTCATTTCATAATGTATGAAATTAAAACCACATTTTACTTATTGTTCTTTTATAATGAAGTCCCTGAAGAAGGGGACAATGTACAGGAGATTCACTGATGATCTTTCTTTTCAAATTATTAGTTTATTATGACATTTTATGAGTGTTTATTTCCCTTTTCCATGTGTCCTATTTTAGATACGGAAATCATCCCGCCTTTTATAGGTACAAGACGAGGACCGGGCATGAGCTTCCTATGTTCTATGTCTATGATTCTTATATCATGAAGCCTGAAAAGTGGGCCAATCTGTTGACCACCGCAGGGTCTCAGAGTGTCCGCAATTCTCCTTATGACGGCTTGTTTATTGCTCTTCTAGTGGAAGAAAAACATAAACATGATATTGTTCAAAGTGGTTTTGATGGAATTTACACATATTTTGCCACAAATGGCTTTACTTATGGCTCATCACAACAGAACTGGGCTAACTTGAAATCATTCTGTGATAAGTACAACTTAATATTTATCCCAAGTGTAGGCCCAGGGTACATAGATACAAGCATCCGCCCTTGGAACTCCCTTAACACCAGGAACCGCATCAACGGAAAGTATTATGAAGTCGGTCTGAGTGCTGCACTTCAGACCCACCCCAGCATAATTTCTATCACCTCTTTCAATGAGTGGCATGAAGGAACTCAGATTGAAAAGGCTGTACCCAGAAGAACCCATAATACAGTGTACTTGGATTACCGGCCTCACAAACCAAGTCTTTATCTAGAACTAACTCGCAAGTGGTCTGACAGATTTAGTAAGGAAAGAATGACGTATGCACTGGATCAGCAGCCTCCTGTTCTGTAAATGTGCTGGATATAGCTCAACTATCACATCACCTGGCTTCATTAAACACTTTGTTTTAAGTTGCAGAAAGAAAAACTGTCAGAATCAGTATGCACCTGCTACTGTTAGCTTTAATCATTGCTTTGTACTCTTTGGAAGACGTTATTGTCAGCACTTCACTTAGTCCTGTGGCGGGAGGACATCTGACAGAAGAGTTGTGGAAAGAACGTTCCTCATAGCGTAATTTTCTGACCTGGATGTGAGGGCCTTTTGAGTTTTCATTTCACAGTAAAGAAAATGTTTGATTTACATACAGCAGCTAGCATACAAGTGCTTCCTACTTGTATTCTGGGTCCAAAGAAATAGGAGTATGTATACTCAAGTTATGACTAATTAAAAGGAAAGGGTAATAGACATGCTTCATTTCTAACCAATTCAGAATTTGCCTAACTTTTCCCTAGTGATCAGATTCACTTCTCAGTTTTCCTGTGAGCATAAAGCTGCTTTAAAGCCTGGCGTGGTGGTGCAGGGCTTTAATCCCAGCACTCGGGAGGCAGAAGCAAGTGGATCTCTGTGAGTTCAAGGCCAGCTTGGTCTACATAGCTAGTTAGCTAGTTCCAGGTCAGCTGGGGCTGCAGGGAGACCCTGTCTCAAAAACAAAAAAAAAAACAAAAAAAACAATACAAAACTGCTTTGAATATCAGTTTCTTTATTTTATTAAATTATACATTTTTCTACATGTAAGCCATACTGCATCAAAGTCCTGCCATCTGCAGAGTGTTAGTTGTCATCATTTGAAGACTTGGTCTGCCTGTAACATGTTAAATAGTTTGCATGTTTAGTATTTCTCCTTTGCTATGCTGAGTTACAGACTGTAGAAAGTATACAAAGTAGCTTTATAAATTAATGACTGCTTCTGAGTGATTAGGAGAGCCGTTGCCTCACAGTGATCATGAAGTTATAGTGTTCAAATATTACCTTCTTTAGACAGCTTGTTGGTCACATTCCCATTTTGTTATTCATGTTTTAAAAATTTAATCTTCACCAGAGACTGCTGACTCAAAAGATAATGTTAATACTAGAACTTATTGTCTTTTAATATTTTAGTTTAATTTTACCACAAACAATAGAGATAATTTACTTGTTACTTCAGAATTAAATATAAACAAAAACTTTAAAGTAATGCCTGAAGAAGAAATACTATATTTCTGTGTGTCCTCATCTCATAGCCTTACACTTTTATGGTTTCTATTCAGTTAAAAAAAAAAAAGACTGCTTGTGATCCAAAGCTGTCATATGGTGACAGAGTGATCAGTTTTATGATAAAAATAAATTCTTTAAACAGTTAATAGTAATATATATTCTATTGGAGTTAATATTTATAATTAATTACAGAAAAACATCCAGTCTCCATAATTTTGCACAAATGTTATTTCTAATTTAGTTCTATAAAGAGAAGTAATAGGGTGATGCTAACAAATAATGCATACGATCTGCAGGGCATAAAGACATTTAGAAACAAATGAGCTCTGGAGTGTATCATTAAATACCCAGAGAGAAAAACTTACTTTTAGGGCAAGGGAAAAGGATCTGTGGGTAAATCATCTTCCATGCAAGCCTCAGGACTGAATTCAGATCTCCTGAAACTACATGGAATTGGGCTCAGAACCACAGTCTATAATCCCAGTGCTCCTTCACGGAGATGGAAAGTGTGGAAAGGAGTCTCCAGCAGCTCATGGGCCAGCTAGCCATCTGGGCACAGCAACAAGCAGGAGCCCTGCCTGTCCCAAAAGACAGAGGGCACATATCAATGAGAGGTTCTCTTCTAACTTCCTCAGCTACACCATATCACATACGGTCTCACACTGGCACAGGAATGTGCACACGCATGTATACACACACACATATACACACAAAGGCTTTTAAAATGTGTTTTGTAGTAAAATTTGTCTTTGAAAGTCATTAATATTAAATATTTATAGCCTTAGAATTTTCTGTTTATCAGAGAATAATTAGGCCATGGAAAATTATACAAATGATAGTAATCTGGTATTTCCAGGGGAAATTGCAAGAATAAATAAACATAGCAATATTATAAGAAAGCATCAGCCTGTAGATTTCTTTTCCTTATATACACTTTGCTACTGCATTGAAGATGAATTGACAATGTATGTTATGTAATAACCTTTTATAATATATGCTACTGTTTTTCTTCATTCTTTATGTTGTATATTTGAACCTACCATGACAGAAAATAAATATATAAAAGAGTTCTGATATTAAGTGAAACTCTAAACACAAGGTAGCCAGTTGTCAGGGCACCACCTCTTGTTCCCATTGCAGGCATAGTTACTCCAGACCCTGCCATTCCCAACCCATTAATTAACAGCAGTCAGTTAGTTTTTTTTTTTTTAAAGTTATTACTGACCCAGCACGGTAGCATACACCTTGAATGACATTTGGGAGGCAGAGGCAGGTGAAGCTCTGTGAGTTGAAGACTAGCCTGGTCTATATTGCGAATTCCAGACCAGCTGGGGCTACAGGGAGTCCTTGTCCCAAAAAACAAGAAGAAGAAGCATTCTTGAGACAGATGATTGGAGTATCTTTTCATAAAACGTACTAGCTGATTATTATCTAAATATCTAGTGGTTTTTTTTCCTCCTGTTTTGAAAGAAGAAAAAAACAATAAAACCTGTAGTCAGTCCTCTGACTTTCACATCTTAATATTCAATCAATTAGGATCAGAACTATTCAGGGAAAAAATTCCAGCTGTAGTGAGCGTGTTCAGGCAATTGTCATCCCCTAGCAATACAGTATAACCACTATGGACACAGCATTTTTATTATATTAGATGTTATCAATAATCAGAAAGATTTAGGTATACATGCAGATCTTTTATGGTGTATCCAATTTTGTACCATGTTATTTCAGGGGCCTGCATGTTTTCAGCCATTCTTGCTATCTCTGTGGGTCCTCGAGCCAGTTCCACACAGGTACCAGGGGACAATATCTTAGCAGTTACTGCTAGAAATTCTGTTGGTGCCTAGAGGAATGCCTTCAGAACCATGCTCAGGTCTTTCATTGTGGCTGCCTTTGACTTTGAGGAGAACTAGTTTGGATAATAATGAGTAAGTTCAAAGAATCCATTTCTTTAGTTAGAAATCTGAATGTTTGGATTCAATTAAGGATGATATAATGTATGCAATGCATGAATCATAATTGGTTCTTTTATAAGTTATTTGTTTTTATGGATTAACCTGTCTAGTTATTTAGATTATATAGAACCAAATTGTTATTTTTCCTTTAAAGAAATAATTATAAAGGACCACTTTATTAATGTTTATCTGAGTCGTGTTAGCTTTTTTGTTTTACTTGGACTGTGTAATTTGAAAAATCAGTATTTTGTTATATGAAGTAAATTTTTGACTAATAAAAGCATACGTGAAAAATGTTGTCCATAGCTATTAAAATCTATTCATCTCTCCTTGTGATATGTTTTATTTAATTTCATATTAATATAAGAAAAGTAGTATTTTGTCACATTCTTTTTATATTTACTGAAGTGAGATGGAACACTTACAAAGTAGATATATTTATCGGTTACATGTATACAGAGTTTTGCTTTTTCAGTTCTGGAAATGTTTTCTTGTGTATTTTTTGCTTCAGTATAATCACATATTCTAAAGTAGTGAAGTAACAAGCCACAAGAAAGCCAACAACTTTCGTAACTGTGTGCTTTCTAAACATCAATTTAAAAATGATGAATATTTCTGAACTCTATAATGGCTGCAGAAGCAGTCCTTAAAAACATGTCAAAATTGTGTAACTATAGTAAATCGGGTTGCTTTCTTGATTTCTTTCTCAGGTAATTTATTACTAGTACATAAAAATGATACTGTTTCTATGTGTTAATATTGTATCCTGCATCTTTGTTGAATTTATTTGTTTTAACAGTCTCAGGTAGAATTTGGGGGCATTCTGTATATGTAAGATTATTTCACCTGCCACCTCTGGCAGTTTGACTTTACTCCTTCCCATTTGGATGTTTTATTTCTCTAGCTAGGACCTCCATCCAGTTCTATACTTCATGAACATTGGCACAGTGGCTGATATTTTAATTTATAGCCAAACACTCTTGAGTATCACCACATAGAAAAGCAGTATTTTACTTAAATCCAGGAATTTTAAGTTATTTATATAAATATTTACCATTTAGAAAAAAAATTTACCTAGATACAAGCAAAAGAACTTTCTGCCTTAGAGCATTCCTTTAGAAAAAAAAATGTACTCTAAATTAAATTTAATACCACATTGTTAGATAGCTACTTAAAGGCTAAATGTTATTATGGGCTTAATCTAATACTTTTATCCTTAAGAATTCCTTTTATCCTTTGACTTGCTGCTTTTTAGACTCATCTTTAGTTAAATCAAAGAGCTAAATGCTATTGCTGTTTTAGTCAATGAATGAAGTATTTTTCAATGCAGCAGAGTTTTTGTTGTTACATAATTCCTATTTAATTTATAATATCAAAAGAATAATAAGCGTAAACAAATCTCAGAGATCTAAAATTTACTGAAATCAAAATATAATGGCATTTTCCAAGTAGAGTCAAAAAGACAATAATAAATAAATAAAAGCATCTTATATAAAGAATTTAAAGTTTCACAGATTACATGAAATTAGTTATAAAATTCAACCATAAAGTTAAACAGCCTTTATAAATTGCTTTATAAATTGCTCTTTGAAATATTTCATAACTCAAAAGAGGATGTGCTATGGAAAGATAATACCTCAAATGAGTCAGTTTATGGTATGTATTCTATATAGCATAATATATTTGTATTTGTTGCTTTTATGAGCAAAGATCATTTTAAAGAACAGAAAGTACAAGCAATTAGCAGTTCAACTGCATTAAACTTAAATGCACTTAAAGTGTACACAAAAGTATTTTTAATCAATGCTGTCAGAATCCAGTATCAAAATATTATGTCACCATTCTAATTTAATAGTAGAGTCTAATGCCATACCTTGTCCTGATTTGATAAAAATACAAATTCAGGAAAAAAATATTCAGGAGAAATTCAATAGAAATACACCAATGAACTGAACCCAAATTTAATCACAGTCCACTGAAGGAGTAGTGTTAAAAACAAGGTATTACATAGGAATTTTAGGTTTTCATTATGAAAATAATCTCTCAGAAACAAACCAATGGAAATGCTTATAAGACTGAGAAATTAATAAAACTAAAGTATGGTCTCATAATTTTCAACCCAACAATTGTGTCAAATACTGTCCTTAACCTATGTTAAATAAAAGCATTCATTCATTAAATATTTCTTGTGTTTACATGAATGATTATTCCACAGAAAATCTTACTGAAATATCCTCTTTGTAAAATTAGATTTAAAGAAACCAAACAGGAGCATAATTTTAAGGGCAAATATGTTGCACTTACTTTCATATCTATAGTTAACAAGATTTAATTGAATTTATAAATTACTTGTAATCAAAGGTGTTGTATTTTGAGAGGAATAGAAAAAATTGTTAGCAGAGCATGTGAAATAAACATACAAGTGCATATTTTTTCATTCTAAATGACTCAATACAAAATTTTTATTAACTTTGAGAATTTCATACCTGTATACAATCTTTTTCGATCATATCCACCCTCCACTTTTCCTCTTAAATGCACCCAGATCCACTCCACACCCTTCCCAAGTTTGTATCCTCTTATTTTTGTTGTTGTTTTCAAATAACAATTCCAATTTGTGCTGCTCATACAGTTGTAAGTGTGAGGCTATCTGCTTGAGATGGGTGACCTTCCAGGACCCACAACTGTGATAATGACTTCTACAATATGGACATACTCTGGACAAATGACTTTTACCTAACCTTGCAACCAAAAAGTTAGTTTTAACTTGGCTTGTTTATAATGTAGACAAGCTCACTGAGCCCTGAGCTCCTCTTATCACCTAAGCATAGCCTTAATCCCTCGTAACCCTCCCTTGCCCTGGATGTCAAATAATGTGTGTGCATATGGTAAACAGTAGATGGATCAAATTGATAACGTCAGTTTGTGGTTGAGTTGTCTAGTGTTCTAGGTCAGTAGGCGTCAGAAGGGATACAATGTTCTGATAAGACAAATGCAGGAACCTGCAAGCACACCCTCTAAGACAGCCTGAGACTGCCTGACTCTGCCTCCAGCCTACCGGTGGTGAGAAGCCCAAATCCTCAGCACCCGTACCCCTGCTTTGGTACCATTTCTAATCCCTCCCACTCTGCCTGTCAGAGTCCTCCTGCATACTACCCTGGTAAGTTAGACCCCGCCCACTAGAGCTTGATTCCCTTGCACCTGGAACAGCTCCATTTTCTCTCCAGCAAATGCCATCCTCCTTCCAGCTTTGGGCCCAGGCCCCCTCCTGCTTTTTCCACCTCAGATCTCTGGACTAGCCTACTAACCAGACCCCACCCACTAAGTCCTGATCCCAGCACCCAGACTTGTTACAGTCTCCAGTTTCAGGCCCCAAACCTATTCCACCTACTTAGACCCTTCCTATTCCGACTTAGCTTCAACCTTAGCTCTTAAGTCCCCACCAGCCTGAGACCTACTCACTGGCCTGTCGGGACCCAATCACTGGATCCCCCCAAAGCTTTGAATTCCTTTTGCTATACTAGAGAGCTTTTCACTAATCAACTTGGAACCACCTTGTCCCACCAATAAAAATATCAAAAGTGAGAACCTGAAGCAGGCACCAACTATTCATACTTGAGGAAAAACAAGCTACATCAACATAAACAGAACCAAACTTACAACAAAACAAGGCAGACTAGAGTTTCATGTCAGACACAACCAACAAAAGGATTGCCCAGAAAAACAATGCAAAAACACAAATAATATGAAAACCAAGAGAATATGTCCCCAAGACAGGCTGGATCTACAGTTTCAATAAAACAGTAAGTGGGTTCTGATTTGAGAGTGCAGTCCCAATAGAAATCTTAAGGAACAGTTTCTCCACATTTGGGGTTCATTCTTGGGACTTTTTTTCTCCCTACAGATAAGAGTTATGAAATTTGGGAATCTTTTAGATAGACCCACTGAAGGAGTACTTCAGTTGCCTCACCCTGCGTCCCTGTTCAGCATGGAAGAAGCCAGAGCGGTCAGCATCCCTATTCCCTATTGGCAATTTGGGTAACCCTTTCAGAGGATGGTATAATAAGAAAAGGACTACCTACTCTGTCCCAAAGGCCAAAAATGTCAAAAGTATTTTCGAGCTCTTATCCCCAAAGATTTTAGGGTTACCTCTTCAGAGGGGGGAATGTTACAGTAGCAAAAAGCCCCATGAAAGAAAAGAGAAAGAAGGAAGGGAGGGAGGGAGGGAAGGAAGGAAAGAAAGAAAGTACAAAAGAAAGATGAAGTCAGAAAAAAGTGATGGGGAGATATGGGAGGTGTTGGAGGGGAGAGAGTGGGCCTGGATTTGATCAAAACACCTTATATGCATGTATGAAATTCTCAAAGTTCTTTTTTTTTTTTAAGTTAAAAAAATGGATGCTAGGAGTCAGGCTATTTTTTATTCGGGTATAACTATAATATGGCTTTGCTTAGTAAATAGGGCACACATTCTTGAAGGAAACTACCCCAGAAGTCATCATTTGTCCACAGAAGGGATGAGGGCTTATGAGTTCCCTCCTCCTTCCACATTAGAATATTAACTGGCTTCATCTTCTGCAGGCAACCACAGATGCCATGAGTTCATGATGCAGTGGTCTTGTCATGTCCACCCTTTCACTTTAGGTTCTCTGATCTCTGGTGGCATGGGGGGATAGATAACCCATTTGTAGCTGAACTCTTACAGATACTACTCTGTACTTTGGCCAGTTGTGAGTTTCTGAAATAGCATATTTATTAAAGTTTTATTTTTATTTTATGTGTGTAATGCTTGCCTGAATGCATGTATGTGTACCATGTGTGTGTCTGTGCCTGAGGATGCCAGAAGAGGGCATCAGATTCCCTGGAATTGGAGGTAAAGATAGTTGTGAGCTAGCATGTGGATAACTGGGAACCAAACCCAGGTAATCTGTAAGAGCAGCAAGTGCTCTTAAATACTAAACTATCTCTCTGCCCTGAAATGTCACATTTTATTAAAAACTTATTAGCAAATTGGTGTTAATTTAGTTAATAATAATATTATATGCCATAACACAAAAAAATGGGGACTATACCTTGTAAGGCTGAGATAGTATAAAGGAAAAATAAAAATGTAGAACAAGGTCACTTACAGCACATGTAAAACATTTTAATCATGAAGCTAAGGAGATGGCTCAGCAGTTAAAAGCACTTGCTGCTCTTGCAGAGAACCTGACTTTGATTCTCAGCACCCACATGAAGGCTCACAACACAACTGTCTCCAACTCCAGTTCCAGGGGATATTAAGGTCTCTTCTGGCTCCCATAGGCACCAGGTATGCATGAGGTCTATAGAAATACATGCAGGTAAAAACACTGCATGTGTTTAAAAACATTTCAAAAATCACTTAAAAATCCCCACCTACCTACTTGCAGGTAGTGCACACATACACATGAAATAAAAATAATAAAATATTTTTTAAAAAATCCCTAATCATGGGAGCATTAGCAAATCATATTACAGTGCATAGAAGCGGGCTGTGATCAGTTGAATTTCAACTCAGAATTGAAAGGGTAACTTAATATTTAGGAAAGTGACTATATTAACTAATTACAAGTAAAATGTGCTACAGAACTGATAAAATTCAATATATGTACATGTTGTTCTTGGCAAACTGGAAACTGGAGGAGTTTCTTTAACCTGAAAATGGGTATCTACAGAATCTTTGAGCTCTAAAATAGTTTTTCCCTATTTTAAGACCACAAAGCAAGGCTGTCATTACATGAATGCTGCTCAGTGACTTATTAGGGCCCTAGTCACATCAATAAAGCAACAGTGACTATATGAGCTAAATGTTCATTTTACATAAACAGTGTACTGATACGTTTTAATTTCTGCTATTACATGGTGGAACGTTAGCCACTTATGAAATGGCAGCCTGCTCTCCATGTAAAATCCTCCCTTCTAGTTTAATAAAGGTAGTCCAGACTCCTCCCGTGAGAGGCTATAGTTCTCACAGTTTTTGCTCTTGGTACTTTTGGGGAGGCGAGGCAGAGCAGTGAGGGACCTTTGGGTCCCTGCCCTGGTGACTGCGCCTGTCTTAGGTTGGAAGGGATCTCCCCCAAATCATACACCCGTCATGGGATGAGGCCGCAGCTTTGGCCGCCCTCCTGTCTTAGGTGTTTTAGTGAGGGGGCCACTTCTCTTACCCATCTCTGGCTGCCAGTCAAGCTCAGCGGGCATAGGTGAATGTACCAACCTCATGCTAGTCTGGTTATAGATGTTAGGGAGTTATGTTATAAGTCCAAGGTTAAGGTACCAGGAGACCTCAAGGGTCTGTCATATTCAGTTTCCAGGGGCTCAGTCATCTCTAAGCGTTGATAGTGGATTTGAATGGGCTTAGATAAAATTGAATCAACCTGTTGTTTGATAAATTTTGTGATCCTATTGAATGCCCAGGGCCCAAGGGAAATTACTATCAGAAGGCCAAGGAGGGGGCCAAGGAGGGGAAGGAGGTAGGGCATGAGTCCGCCAAGTCCGGTCCAGAAGGGATTGTCTTGTAGTTCTCGAAGTCACTTTTCTAATTGTTCTTGGAGATTTTTTATCTTATCTTGAACTATGTTGGATTTGTTGGCGTAGAAACAGCACTTCTCCTGTAAAAACAAGCAGATGCCTCCCTTTTTGGCAGTTAACAAGTCTAGACCTCTTCTGTTTTGAAGGACTACCTCAGCCAGGCTATCAAGTTGTGTCTGGATCTCTATTATGGTTTCTGAGAGAAGTTGAACATCATCAATCAATTGTTGGGAGAGTTTATAGTAGGTGTGGGTGGCCACCCCCAAGCCTGCAGTTCCAGTAGCCAGCCCGGCGGTTACACCGAGTGTTATCATTAAGGGAATCATTTGGATGGCTCTTTTGGGACGGCCTCCCACATAATCAAAGGCAGGAACGGGGAGGGGCTCACTGCCCAGAATGATATCCAGATCTGGGAATAAGACTGCGAGGGCACATTGACCTGTCCAATTGACCGGAAGGAAGCTATGTGCCCATCGGCCCCACAGACAAAGATACTCCCAGCAGGTGGGCAAACATCAGCATCATATGAAACAGAAATGTTTGAGCTGCAGGAAGTTGAATAAATGTTCCCCAAATCGACACGGGAGCCATTTGGGTATGGTGTGGCAAAAACACAGAGCCCGGGTAATATGGG